ACATTATACGTTTAATGATGTTAAAATATATAACTTTTCATGGTTTTTTTTTCTAACTATAACTTTTCATGTTTAAACTATAGTAACTTAGGTTGAAGAATGATATCAAATATTGTTTGTAACACTTACATAATGATTCATACAACTTTTTTTACAGTTAGTTAGTTTAATATATTATTACTTAAAATTATATATTTATGTGATTGACCTAATATCTCATATTCATATTATGTAATATTTTTTAGCAAAAACAATGTAATATTTAATTACTAGTTTATACATTATTTTTAATATATTATATTGTTATAATATTAATATTTAATAAGAATATTTTGAAAATAACATTTTAAGTCATTTTATTTAATATTATATAAAATTATATTTATTATCTTAAAAATAATATTACATTTAAAAATAAATAAATTTAAAATATTAAAATTTATTAAAATAAATCATCACAATGCAAACGATATATTTATAACATAAAAACTTATACTAAATATACTAAGTATATATTTTATCCTTTTTTAACGTTACGATAATCTCCTTTAATTCATATAACATACACTAAGGAGAGGTGAGTCTAATTTGTTCATAAATTTATTTGATGATTAATCAGTAAAATATAATTTGAGTTACCGACTGATTTAAAAGAAATTTTTAATAATAAAACTTTGTTATTAAGATTTTTATCAAGCTTTATTAAGTTTACCGGAGTTTATGAAAAGTTTAGACGAGAGAATTTTTAAAAATTTAAGATAATAAATCAATTTTAATTAATAATTTTTATAAAAAAATAATATATATCTTAGTTATAAAAATTAGGGTAAATTACTATCATAGTTTGTGTTAATGATATTTTAGTTTCAAAATGAGTCACTATTAAAAAAGGTCCTTAGTTTTTCTTTTATAAAAAATTTACTTCCAAATATATTCAGGAAGACGCAAGATGCTAAAATAATTTTACGTTAATTAATATATATGATTGGTTATATATACATAACCATTTTACAATTTTGTCTAATACAATTTTTATATTATTGTAATCTTAATACAATTTTATACGTTAAAATTCATAATTAAAATTGAGATAAATATGGTTAAATTTAATTTTAATCATTAAATTTTTTTCGTTTCAATCTTGATAAATTTTAACTTTTTTTAAAAAAAGTATTATCACTTGATGATGATATCACACGCATTTATACATATATTACTTATCACCTTAAATTAGTTATTGATGTGATATAATTAAATATATACCATGTCATTATAAAGTAATAATAAAGATAATTTTTATAAAACTAATAAAAATATTTTAAAAAATTAAAACTAATCATATTTATGCAAACTAAAATTATATTTAAATCTTAAATTTATTATTAATCAAATCTCAAGTTTCATCGTCCATGTTTTATGTATAGAAGTAAAGCTTTTGATTATGAAATAAAAAAAAATATAATTTGTATATTTGTTCGTTCTCTTCTTGATTGAATAGTTGTTTTTTTCCTTTTTCTATTCTTTCGGCATTTAAATAGTTAGTTGAAGCTTTCTACGGGTTTTTAAATTATTTTATATATCTAGCATTTTTTGCGTGTGAAATTTTGGATGCAAAAAAGAAACAAGTAGCCACTCGACAATGGAAAAAATCACAGGTAGGACTAAAGCTATAGAAAGAAAATCATTTTGATATACATAATCTGAGTTAAACTGTAATTCATTAAATTATTTGGATATAATTAAAATTAATAATCCGCACGTAAATATAAGAACTAGATAACATAATTTAACACAGTTACATAGATAATTTAATGATGGAAAAACATGTAATGTAAATTTGAATAAGGAAAATTTTTATAATATACTTATCTTTTCAATGATTTTCACCTTTTCGTCGTTTATTCTTTTATTTTTAGGCGTTATTGAGGTCAATGTGTAATGGTGGATTAACCTTCATTCTTTTTTTGTGCGTGTTTTCATGTCTACACACAAATAAAAATCATATATCGATAAAAAAAAAATTAAATTTTTTTTTAAATATAATTATAATACACCTATTATATTTTAATTTATATTAGATTACAATAATGCTGAATGTAAGACTATTAGTACATGATAATTGTTTCCATATGTCCATCTAATAATATAGCAAAAATGTGCAACATACATACACAAATATTAGTACAATAAACTTCAGTACCAATGAGAAAAGGCGTTCAGTGCCCACAAAGGAACTATCTCGTAGATAGCGACATTTAAATCGAAATATGAAATATAAGTATCAAAATTAAAATATTCCATTAATAAGTTCTTTTTCCTACCCCTTTCTTTGCGTACAAGCTCAATAATTTATTCATAATTTATCAAAATTTGATACAGTATCCATCTATATGTAACAGAAATTAAGTCCTGTTTTTTTAGAATAGAAAATCTCACTATGTATTTAATTATCTAATCAAATTTTAATTAATTATTCAATCGAAAGCGATTTTTACGTTCATTATTTTCTTTAATTAACATTCAAATTTTTTTCAGTCAATATTAAGCATAAGATCATCATTAAGACAAAAGTTTATATTTTCAAAATTAAAGCGTTTAAATGATTGCATTTTTTAATTTCATTTTTTTATAATTAATAAAATAATCTTCTACTAATTAAATTTGCTTTTAAGCATGTTATTAATTTACAATATTTAGTATATCATTCGTATATACAAGTATAGCTAATCAATTCATGAGATACTTGTGATTGTGCTATACAATGTATTTTTCAACAGATGAAATCCATGGACCAAACAAAGTTTAAGGGTGTAATTTACATTTTAAAAGCGGGGTGGGAAGACTTTGATGCAGTTGCGAGATGCACATCAAGAAGTTCACACTAATACAAACACTAGAGTCCTAGAAACACATGGTATTTTTTGCAGGTTTTGTTTGGAAATCCCACTCAATTTCTGCAATTCGTATGCTTAAATTAAATGTTTTGGCTAGAGCATAGACATATCGCAGGTTTTGTATGGCATAGTGTGAAATTCTATGAGGGTTGTCAATTATGATGGTCTTTTGGTGGAACTAGCCTTAAATATGGATTGTGATATGTGAGAGGTATAGTTGGTGATGCATGTTATTTTTAGCGGAAAGTGAAAACATAGGGCCCTCATTTTCAAATAGTCTTTGCACAGATTTCAAATTCAATCCTTACTCAGTGAACGGAAAGGAATAGTGCTACATGTGATCTCTGAATACCTGTGTGGTGAATTGTAGAAAATGGTAAGCTGTAACCCGACCAAGACCAAATAGTCTTAAAACATGAAAACAAAGATATATGCATGTGAGGTTTCATCCTTCAGGATCACTAGGCCTCTCTATTCAGGTGTGGACATTATGTGTGGACACATCTAATTTTCAAGGTTGTCTTCAGCTACCTATTTTTCCAAACTCACCTACTTGTCATTAAATTAGCAATGGAATAGAATCATGGAAACACTAAAAAGTCAAGGAAATCAGATCTAATTCAATCAAGAATTCCCAAATTATGTTACCTAAAATAAAAAAGATGTGACAAATCAAGAAGAATAAACTTTAATCTATCGTAGGAAATCCCATCCAAAATGGATATCCCATGAAATCCGTTTAGAAAATAGGAGAATGAAAGTTAGAAATTTGAGTCCAATTATTGGTACTATGCAACTGACTATCCCAAAGTACCAATGCAATTTAAAGTGAAATCGATCTTTTTGGTCTCGAAGGACTAGTACCAAACTCTAATTGAATAAGATCAATTTAAATGGTAATTTTCTTTTAAAAAATTAACGCAGTTACAGTTTTAAGAAATTAAATTTAAAACCTCAAATTGGAGACTTTTAATTAATGAGATAGCTCCATCCATGCTAGCTGATTTATCAAATGCAATTGATCTCCATTAATGGTAAAAGTGGTCATAGATAGGGCACATAGATGTATTCCCTATCAAAGAATACACCATTTTCTTACACAAAATTTGTCTATACCTTCTTGCTTTTGGAATCTGAGCTAATTGATGGACTTCATAAACAGTCATTTTGACCAAAAGCCCATGACATCCCTTTCTTTTAGGTGTCATATTGGTCAGATATCAATGGCTTGAGTGCTTCTTGAGTCCCAGTCTCTAACAACTACACATCATCCTCACACGTGCATCGATAGAGGCTATTCTTGTAAATACATGTGTGGCTCCTCCGTGTGAGAGCTGGCCACTTTCTAAGGTACCTAGCTGCTAGAGCATATTAATGCAACAAGATGTGCAGTACATTTTCAACATCTTGTACTTTTTTCCATTCCCAAAAAGTTCAAGTGGAAGCATGGTGAACCAAAATATTGTATTTATATGAATTATTAAGTACATAATGAATCTTTAATGCAAGTACCAAAATATTCCAAACCATTCCATATCTCAACGGGGGTTGAAACTTGAAAGTAGAAAACTGCATTGTAGGTATAAAATGGTTCAGCCTTTGAGCCAATTATTTTAATCCATCCCAAGAAGAGAACCACGCAAATGCTTGGTTGAGAGAAAAATAAATATACAAATAAATAAATAAAGAAGCACGCTTAAGATAATTTGTGTACTTTTTATAAAGAGATTAGTGGTTATCATGTATCCAAATACCAAATCACTGCACCAATAATTTATAGGTGGCTTGACATTATATTGAAAATAGAAACTTAGTGAAATGACAGTAGAAAAGAACATGGAAGATGCAGTTAAAACTGAAACTGGTTAAATTTTATGAGTTTGCTAACTAATGCCCTTCAGAAAACTGGTTAATAAAAATTAAAAAGTGATTTCTTTTGATAAAAAAAAATTACGTTAAATTATATTAGAAGTCACAAGGTTAAATACATTATTAATATTTTCAGACAAAAACTATTCACATTTAATTCTTTATACAATATTCAAGCATTTTCCAAATTTTATAAGGCTTGCCCCATAGAGAACAAAAGAAACTATAAACAGAAGGAGAAAAAGCAGAGAGAAACAGAGGAAGGGTGGGAAGAAAGTGTGAGTGTGTGTGCAGTGAAAGCAGGATGCATCAGAGAGGGTTGTTTTAGCTTTTCTGGGTTTGGGAATCGTTGAAAGACAGAGAAGAAAGCCTGCAAGAGAATCCGAGAGCTAAACATGGTAAAGCATAGGAAGTGATGATCTGCATAGATTCACCTTTGTTTTTCTTGCTTTATTTTAACCTCTCTAAGTACTGTGCTAAAACCTCTGCCACAACACACACACCCTCATCAGATAAAGCCGTACCATTTCATCCAAAATTTCCACCTTTGTCTACTCTTTCTACTCTAACTCCCTTCATCTTTATTGCACACTACACTGAGACAAAATAAAAAAGTAGAGTGGGAGAGTTGCAAAAGGGTGTGACTTTGTCTATCCCAGACAAATGGGCTAAGTGTTAGGTATTTGTTTAGCTCAATATTTGCATGGAACGTGCAACCCCTGGATGTTGTAAACCCTATTATTGGTCTATAGCTTGAGACACTACTCTTCATAGGGTCAGAGTTAAAACAGTGTGCGAGTGAGTGTGCGTTTGTGTCAGTCTTATATTTGCAACCATATATCCTCCCAGTGCTGTTCTTCATAGGGGTTCTCTGAAGGATTTTTCTTCTTGTTCATGGAGAGGAATAGAAATACCACTAGGCTTGTGAACAAAACCCAGCTTTGTTTCAGTGTTTCCTTCTTCTTCATGCTCTCAATTTGCACAATGATCTTCAGCAGTACTAGTACTACTGCCTCCTCCATTACATGTTTAGGTATGCAATTCTTCCAAACACCTTTATTTATTACTCTGACATTTCCACTATAAATTATTGACCTCTCCCATTCTACTTAATTTTTACCCCATGATGCTATTTCACATGATAAATTTATATCATATCTTTATCTAATTCACACCCCTTTCGTCCTTTGTTCATTGCAGATACTGCTAGGTGTCCCATGCTTGCCAAAGCTGATATAGATTTTCAGGTATAGACTGGTCCTATTCTTTCTCCATCCAGTACACATGCTTTGTTACTATCTTTCTATCACCTTAGCTTATCCTCAGTTATTGCATGTACCATCCATCAAATTCAACGTTACCCCCATCAACTTTTTCTTTTAATTGCAATTAACCTACCTAGCTCTCTCTAACTCTAGTATTGTGAACATTAGGCTTAAGACTTTTAGACAGAACATTTTCAATCAATTTTGTGAATTACTTTATTTATAATAAAAATTATTATTTTTTGTTACTTAAAATAGATCTTTAACTGTTAATGTTAAAAATAAAATTTAAATGCAGTACTGTAAATATTTTTAGGATTATTCTTTAATAAAAATTAAGTTTTTACCATGATAATTTACATGGATAAATATTATTGATATGAAATTCTAATTTTACTGAAATAATGGTATTAAAATTACTGATTCTAACTATTATGCTAATGTTAACAAATTTTCATTTTAGAATAATTAAAAAGGGTTCTCTATTTTGGTAAAAGAAATTCAGTGGACGGTTGAGGTTGTGTGGAAGAAAACACAGCGGGGGTGAAACTGTGAAATGGAACTGAAACAAGGGTGGATGGTGACAGCGTACAAAATCTAACCCCTCGCAGACACACTGCTAGAACAAACTGAGACCGGCTAAAATGCGCCAAAATAGGTGCAGGGGTGTTATGGGACCCACTGCAATGTGAGCCGTCAGATGCATGGACTCCACTGTGATTAGGAAACACACGTGGGCGGTGGTACCTTGTGCCTCCCCATTGGCTCCACCGTCGTTTCTGACCACTATTCAATCATGTTCCGCATCGTAACACCATCGGCGCACGTTAGAATCAGCCAGGTTAATTCCGTGTCGTTACTCGTTAACGTGCGCGTACAGTGTACCATGCTCAGCTCTTTCACTGCAAACTGGAACAAAGCTACAGTCCTATTATGGCCGAACCATGTTCTAAAGAGGGTGCACGTTAGCCTCTTCTTGTTCACATATTGCTGCTTTGGAATGTAGCAAGCGTTATCACAAGCAAACCATGCTAAACGTGGTTCCGATTTCAACATTCAATTATTTGCTACTTTTGTTTAATTCTTTTGGAGTCTTACTTTTAAGAAATTGAAAAAAAATACATTTGGTTATATTAAAAATTTAGTAATGATTATTGGTCAATCATGATTTTTGGGCAGGAATATAAGGAGGAAATTGGAGAAGGCATGGTTTATGAAGGTAAAATAGAGGGTTCATCAATGGCTAAGCCTAGGAGGTTTCTAGGTGGGCCTGGGTCATCGCCGCCGCGATGCACCTCCAAGTGTGGCAAATGTACACCCTGCAAGCCGGTTCATGTGCCGGTGCCACCAGGGACGCCAGTGACCGCCGAGTACTACCCGGAGGCATGGAGGTGCAAGTGTGGCAACAAGTTGTACATGCCATGAATATATATTTTGTCTATTAATGTATGATGATGTATTTTTGTTCCATCGGTCTAGTATATAGTTCATTTTAGTGACTATAAAACTCCCACCTCTTTGGTGAGTTACTTTAGCTTTAGCTTGTGGTCGATATTGGATATGAAAAAAGAGTACAGAACTTGATTTGATGTGAAATATGTAATATCTTCACACTGATTACGGATTAATGTTAGTAACAGTAAACTTATGTTGTTACATTTTGGGTATGTGGTGCTCGGATTGTTTTTTTTCATTGGTTGTCTTTTCCTCTATTTTGTTGAATTGTTTGATGCATCAAATAGGGGGAATCTATGAAGACTAGTTCATTCAACATGCACGGCAGTGTCATTTCGTTTTTGGTTGCCAGAATATGGTGGCCTAATCTGATACTGTTGCCTACTCTTTGTAGTTTCTTTTAGTTTTATCCCTCTCGACTTGATTTGTTTATTTCAATAAATAAGATATATATTTTGTGCATCTACACAATGCATTTGTAATCACAGAAATTCAAATCAGATTAATGTACCGACAAAAAATAAATAGGTACCTGCATTCATGGAGGTGAATTGACTCGATTAATTCGATTATGCAAATCAAATCAATTAAATTGGTTTATTAGTTTATTTTGTTTCAAACCTGAACGAAATTAATTACAAATATTTTTTTCTCAAATTTTTTTCTATCTAAATAAAGTAGATAACCTGATCAACTTTTTTTTTTTTCAGTTTAAACATTTAGATTTTAGTATTTACATTTTTCTTCTATTTTTTTTCCTTTTATTCTATATATTTTGACTATCTTATTTAGTATTATTAAGTGTCTTCGGTAAGTTTATTATCAAATTTGTAATGTTTTAGAAAAAAAAATTAATTATGTATACAAAAGAAAAAATTTGTATTGTTTGAAAATAAAATCGATGCTTGGAATTGATTTAATTTCTGTCCGAAATTATTGAAGAATAATTCTTTTAACTTTCACTAATATCAAATTTAAAATTTCATGTAGTAAATAATATGCAAATTATAAAGTTTAAATAAATGTAATTACTTGTTTTTTAGTTAAATTCATTAACCCGAATTAATTAAACATAATTTTGATCAAATTGATTTAATTTATTTAATCAAATCGATTGAATTTAATCATTTAAAATTTTATTTTATCTCCAATATTCACACATAAATAATATTTGATTATATCTCGTAAATGTATAATCCATAAATCCAATTATATTAATTTATATAATTCCTTGTAAAATTCATTTTCTGCTTCATAAGTGTGTGAATTTTGATTTCTGTATTAAACCAAGAAATAAATAAACTTTTTATCAGAAATAAAGTGTGAATATTTTGAGTGAAGCAAATCAAATTTTGAAAGAGAAGACAAAGAAATGGTTCTAAAAGTAACCGAAGTGAAACGTCAAGATCACAAGCTATGGATAAGTCAAGATTTGGCATGTAGGACCCGTGGTCAACCTTGGCAAGGTGATGCTTCAATTATGGGACAAGGGAATATTATCAATTATCTATTATTTAGGTGTGCTTAAATATATTTTATTCTTTATATTTGATATTAATTTTAAATTTAATTTTATATAAAGAACTTTATAAATTCATATTCAAATATAAAATTAATTTTATTTTGATATTTGTTATCAATGGATATTATAATATAGTTAAATAGACTAAATAGAATTTCAATGTGATAATAAACCGATACTTTCTTTTTTTATTTTTTTTTCCCTTTTTTCTCGAAGTCTGAAAATTTATGGTCGTCTCATTTCTCTTTCTAAGTTGAAAAGGTCTAAAAAACAAGGAGCTTTCCACGAAAGTACTTGAAGAAATGAAAGTACCAAGATGCAAGCTAAAATTTTCATCTTTAATAACGTTATTATGATGCATGATAACCAAAAAATTTACATACATGGTGAAATTTAAAAAAAAAAATTAAGGTGTGCAATTGTTCTTCAGATATTGTTACTTAAAATGTTTGAGTGTTGCTTAAGTATAAGGACCTTTCAGTCATATTCAAATTTTGTTTAACACGTAAGAGTCTAATTCACAATGCTATAACACCAATTGACAGCACGGAACAATGTAAAAATGATTTTTTTTATATAAAAACGAATCCACAAGTTTTTTTATATGAAGATTAACGTGGTGATAAAGTTACTAATTAAATCCATTACAAATAGATTATAGCTTGTTTTGCTTGATGTTTTTGATACTTTGCAAACTGCTTTAATTCCTTGTAGACTTGTTACTAATAATGCACTTTTGAAAGCTTTCACAGGTTGAAAAGTAGTAGTGATTTGCCAAGAAAGGTACCATGGTCATGAAACTTTATGTGTCAAAGGATAATGATAAGATTGAATGGCCTTTTCTAGAAATCATCCTTACATCTATGGGTTTCCCGGGTAGTTTCACATCCTTGATTATGTGTTATGTTCCATCTATGTCATATCAAGTTTTGTTAAATGGGAACTTCACTCCAAGTTTTGTTCTTGGCAGAGGCCTAAAATAGGAAACCTTATATCCCCTTTTCTTTTTATTTTGTGTGCTCAAGTCTTGTCATGGATAATTAGCACTGAAGCTACCAGAAATAACATCTATGAAATTCACATTATTTGGAAGTTTTATTTTGAATGGGTTGGCCACTAAGAAAACAAGGAGTTTTTTTAGTGTTAAAACAACTTTTATTTTATCTTTTATTTTCACTTTTAGTTATTAAATTGTCACTTTATTATTATGTATTTTTTATAAATCTTTGAAAACATAAGATAAAATAAAAAAAAGGTGACATTTTTATTATTAAAAATAAAACAATTTTTTTTCTATTTTTTGGTCAATAACAAAAAATATTTTCTGAAACCAAATAACTTCATATATTTTTTAGTCCAATATCAAATATCTTGATTGGCAAACAATTTGGATCAGTAAAATATCCATTTATCGTATAGGTTATTAATTGGGCTACCCAATTAAAAATAAAAGTAAATGGACATAACGTAAAACCAGGCCTCATTAGTTGACCAAAAAAAAGAAAAAGAGGCCTCATTTGGTATTCACAACAAACCAAGGGTCCTGTTGTCCAAAAACAAAAGATATGGCCCTGTCTTTTCTCTCGTTTTCTTTGATTTGTTGCCTAAACAGAACGATTTTGCATACTATCATAATGGTTGAGGAACGAGTGTAACATATACCCCTGCTGTATGTAAAAAAGATTTCGTTATTTATACATTAGACTCTCATTTCATACTTTTCTTTCAAAAGAAAAATAAAAAAAAGTAAGAACTGGTTTGTTTTTGTTTTAATTTAAAAAAAAATATTTTGAAAAAAAATTTAAAATAATTTTTATAAAAAAATTAAAACCAAACTTGTTTATTGGTTTAATTTTTAAAACTATTTTTAAGATGAAAAAATAAAATAAAAAACTAAAACACTTTACAGTTAATCTTATTTTTTAGTTTTAAAAATTAAAAATTATTTTTAAAAACTCATCTTAACAAACAAATTTTATTTTTTAATTTTAAAAAATTAAATTTTAAAAACGGAAAATAAACAAGTCCTAAATTTCTCTCTCTCTTTTTTTTAATTAGATTATAATGTGAAAATATAGAATGTGTGTGTGAGAGATAGAAAAAAGAAATTTAATTTCTCTTATATTCGCTTAAAAAGTGTTGAGATAAGAAAAACTCCTCCATTAAACATAATCAAGTTGATGCTATTAACTTTTTCTCGTTGCCATGGAAATCACTTTATTTTATGTAATTTTCTGCTGTTAAATATTCCCTCTTTCTAAACTTGTAGGACTGTAATTCTTCGTCAATAACAACACATTTACAATTTTTATCCCTTAGGATTTACAAAAGTTAAAAGCGTGTACGGAACGGACGGCTTGGTAAGTATCAAATATATATTATTATATATAACACGTCCCCACAAACTTAAAAAGTAGGGTCTAAGTAACTCTCAAATTTCGTTTACCTCATGCATGCATGCATTGCACTTGTTTGTATCTGCAGTCACTTCCGTGTAAGCAGAGGAGATTACTAACAATATATTTTGTTTAAAGGAAATATTCAAACAACAGGGTTTATTTCAATTAATCTCATCATACTATATATAATAATTATTATTATTATTTATTAGAGCCAATTCTCATGCAATTGACCCACTGGATTGAAATAGAGATCATGGTGGCCAAGAGAGGATTTAAAGGAAGAGGTTGAAGAAGCCGAAGCAGAGATATTTAGAGCTTAACCCCCCCAACTCTCAACAGTTTCGTGATTCACAACTAATTATTTCGTATTTGAGGGAGATTTCAAACAAATGTTACAAGAAATTCTCACAAGACTCTTTCACATCTCTTATTCTCATGTCTTGTGTCTCCCTTTACATCTCTTTTTAGTGACGACAAATGAGTTCTGAATAACTTTTTATCTGACATTTTCAAGAATCATATCTTTTCAAAGTTGCCACACCACATGCATTACAATGATCAACACTTTTCTACTGTCAATTTATTATTTAATATTTTTCTTTTCTGAAAAAAATTAAGTTGACAGTCTCAATATTCGTGACGTAAGAATTTGAGAATGCAACAAAGCTACAACATGCTTAACTCAAAATGAGAGCATTATAATGGAAAACATTTTATAATTGATCTTTATAAATTATTTCTCTCTTTTTTTTGTAATGATTTAAACCTAATAGAAATTACAGACATTCAAATTTAAAAATTAAAAATTAAATGAATAAGAATTTGGATAAACCATAAAGTAAAAAATGTAAGATAATTGTTTAGTTTTTAGATATAATTGTGGAAACTAATATAATTCAACCCAAATCAATTTTAATTATATAAATATGTAAAAATATTGGATAAAATTATCAAACTTAATTATGTGTGAGAGGAATATATTTATAAAATTATTATCTTAATTTTTTACATGATTTCATTATTAAAATTATTTTATTTTTTATGTTTTTAAGAATCTATTAATTTTAGACAGTTATCAATTTGTTTTTTTTAACATCTTGATATTTATTTTGTATTAAAGAAGAAGGTTTAATAGAGAACAAAATAGATAGAACAAAATAATATAAGATATATTTAACAAGTTCATAAAATAAATTAAAGGAAAAAAAATATTATAAATATTGTTAGTTATATTATGTAAGTTTCTGTTTTAATATTTTGAATATAAAGGTAAATATATTAATTTCATGTTTATTATATAAGTCATTTAATGCTTCAAATTAATATATCATTATTATTTTTATATAAGATATTTATTGCTTTAATTTTTTTAACTTTATTTTTCATTTTGGTTTCATGCTTTAACCTTTTATTTTACTATATTCTTTTAATTTTCAAATATTAATCAAATTAAAAATAAAATTAAAGAACTAAAATGAAATAAAAAAATAGAATAAAAAATCAAAATAAAGTTATAAATTAAGATATTAATTTATCAAATAATAATAATCAGTTAGTTTTTAATGTCTTTTAACTATAATAGATTATATTGACATGGATCAAATTAAAATTTAGAATTAAACTAAATAAATGATAAACTAGAATAATATAACTAAATTATAGTTTTTTTAGAAAATGATTAAACATAATCTATAAACATCGTAAATCGTCTTTTTTATTTTTTATCGCTCTATCCCTTACTACTTTGTTTGTCATAATAGATATTGTGAAAAAAAAATAGTGAAAATGAAAACACGCTTTTTGATGCATCAATATCCAAAAATATAAATAAAATGAAGCCACACTTTTCTTTTATCCTTATTTATAAAAAATACATTTTTCAATTTCACTTAAAAAATTTAATTCCGAATATAATATCTATTTTTGAAAAGAAGAATATAGTGGTATCTTTACAAAAAAGGAATACTAATTTCCATTCCTTTTTCTTTTATACCAACCTACTTAAAAATATACTTATTTATTACTTCTTCTTTTTTTTTACATTTTAGTTATTTCCAACATAAATTTATTTTTAAAAAAATTATTTATTACCAATATAACTTTTCACAGTTTGTTATCTTTCACATTTGAGGTATTTTCTTTTTTCTACAGATATTCTGTCTTATAATTATCTATCACAAATTAAACAAATCCACAAGAAATCTCAACGAAGGTCAATCTCAAGGAAAGGACAACTGTACCAGAAAAAAAAAACCGTAATTTTCACCAAAGACGGCACCGACGTGGCAATATCCTATAGCAGGAGTCAGCTCCATCAACCAATAAGAAATTACCACGTGGGTGGCCACAAATAATCTTCAACACCAACAATATGAAAAAAAAGAATCACGTTCTTACCAAGCAACGCATCCCCCTAGCAAACAGTCTCACGCGCAGTCACGCGTAAGGAAAAGCGACCTTCATCTGTTTTCTTATTATTTATTTATTTACTATCCAAAATCATCAAATAATTAAACAAATAAATAGCCAATCCCCACCCCATTCCACCCCACAGTCAGAGTCCAACACCAAAATCTTAACACGATTTCAGAAACGTAGCTGTTTTCTGTTCAACAAAAACTCTTTCCTTACAAATAACGTTTCCAGCTTCCAACCGCCCATTAACCCAAAAAGGAAACACATAATTTCCAAGCAATTTCGCGATTCTCTTGAGAACAAAAAGAAAACTTCCCTTAAAAACTCGTTAATTCTCCGGCAACAGGCCAGTGATTGATCGTGCTCTCTTATGAGGGCACGATCTATAGCGTAAAATCAAATGCCGGAAAGCGAACACGCGGCGGAGAGCACCGCCCTGTTCGGGAAATACGAGGTCGGAAGACTCCTGGGATGCGGCGCCTTCGCGAAGGTGTACCACGCGCGGAACATCGAAACAGGACAGAGCGTGGCGGTGAAGGTGATTAGCAAGAAGAAGATAGCCGCATCGGGGTTAGTGTCCAACGTGAAGCGCGAGATCTCTATCATGAGCCGTCTCCACCACCCAAACATCGTGAGACTCTACGAAGTGTTAGCCACAAAAACCAAAATCTACTTCGTATTGGAATTCGTCAAGGGCGGTGAACTCTTCGGGAAAATCGCTAAGGGCCGATTCAGCGAAGACCTCGCTCGCCGTTACTTTCATCAGCTTATCTCCGCCGTCGCGTACTGCCATGCGCGCGGCGTTTTCCACCGCGACTTGAAACCGGAGAATCTCCTCCTCGACGAGCACGGGAATCTCAAGGTGTCGGATTTTGGACTGAGCGCAGTGAAGGAGCAGATCCACGTGGATGGGTTGCTTCACACGCTTTGTGGAACCCCTGCTTACGTGGCCCCGGAGATTTTAGCGAAGAAGGGTTACGACGGGGCTAAGGTTGATGTTTGGTCGTGTGGGGTTATTCTGTTTGTTCTTGTTGCTGGGTATCTTCCTTTTAACGATCCTAATTTGATGGTCATGTATAGGAAGATTTACAAAGGTGAATTTCGGTGTCCGAGGTGGTTTTCGATTGAGTTGCGAAGGTTTTTGGCGAGATTGTTGGATACGAATCCCGATAAGAGGATAACCGTTGATGAGATTCTTAAGGATATTTGGTTTAAGAAGGGGTATAAGGAGGTGAGGGTTCACGAAGAGGTGAAGAATGTGGATAGTGGTGGGAGTGGGGGTGATAAGGTGAAGGAGTTGAATGCTTTTGATATTATTTCGTTTTCTTCGGGGTTGAACCTTTCGGGGCTGTTTGATTCCTCGTGTGGTGGGGAGGGGGAGAGGATTTTGCTGAGGGAGTCGCCGGAGGAGGTGGTGGAGAAGGTGGTGACGGCAGCGAAGGCGGAGGGGCTCGCCGTGAGGACGAGGAAGGAGTGTGGGGTGGAGTTGGAGGGGTGTAATGGTAATTTGGGGGTTTTGGTGGAGGTTTACAGGTTACCGGGAGAGATGGTTGTGGTTGAGGTTAGAAGGAGGGATGGGGATGTTGGGGTATTTAGAGATGTGTGGAGGAATAAGCTGAGGCCTCACCTCTGTGCTGCCAGCAGTAGTACGACGTCGGATCGGGATGACGACGACAAGTCTTAGCCGGTTGCCGGTGACTGATGTGTCGGCCCGTTTCTTTTTTTTTGTTATTAAACAATTTTAAATAAAACTGAAAAGAACATAGGCGGCGAAAATGTGATTTTGGTGGGGCATTTGTGATGAGGATGGTCAAATTTTATTATGTATATTTATTCTGCTTTTATGTAAAATATTTACCGTTCAAAATGAAATTGTAAAGTGTTTTGTTTACACTTATTTTTCCTTTATCTTGAAATCTAGTTCCCTCTAACTGCAACTTTCCTCTTTATTCATTCTCACTTTCAATTTCCACAAAATAAAATTTTGGAGAATATATAGTTCGTGTTTGTTAAATCACGCAGCTAGAAATAACACGATTAGTTCCCTTTGAGAAATTAAACGAGATAACTACTTTTATTATATTATTGTATCTTTAATTTAATAAATGTTTTTTTAGTTTTTAATTTATTCAAATATATCTTAACTTAGCTCTTAAATTTTGTTAACAATAATTAAATTATTTATTTGTCATGATAAATTTTAACTTAATAAATTAAGTAATGTATCATGTCCAAAAATGCATCGTGTAATAAGAGAACAAAATTATTAAAGATGTCATATATACATTTTTTATTTAGAATGAGTCTATTGTCATTTTAAATGTGTATTATCCATCTCTTTAAATAATTTTTACATAAAATACTCCTTTTATTAGTTAGTTACATTAATAATAATAATAATAATAGTTTTAAGAAATTAAATGAGTAAATCACTACTTTTAGTTTTACATTTTTTTAATTTCATTTTTAACTTAATAAATATATCTTAAGTTATTTTTTTACAATTAATTAATATTAATAAAAATTAATAAAATTATTTATCTATCATGATAAATTTTAATTACTTAATATGCTATACCATAAAACTATATCGGGAGATTCTTTAAATGAAATTATTAAAATTTATTATCAAATTTATCAAAATAAAACATAAAAATTATTGTATTTTTCTTGATTTATCCTAAAATTTTATCGATTTTCATTATCTAACTATCAACATTAGTCTAATTAACATTTAATATGTGTAAGTTGGCATTTAACGTGCCACAATAATGTTTTTATTAAGTCTTATTGATGTTTGTTAGTAAAAAGATATTAATATAATAATTTTTGTAACAATTCAAAGATTAGAATAATTTTTTTGTTAAAATAAACAATTAAAGAGTTACAAAACTAAAACTCGAAGTGATAATCTACTCAAAATTAAACTACGAATGAGGAAGAAAAGGTAGCAGAGTAATGACACCCATGCCCTATGTTATAGTTTTTGGCTAGTTCATACTCATTGAATTATGCTTAAAATCTTATTTATTGATTTTTGGGTTAATTAGACAATATTGCACTTACACTTTTAAGTATTAAGAAAATTGAGATGGATCCCTACTTCCTTTTTTATATGACACTTTTTATTTTTCATATTAGCTAACTTCTTATAAAATATTCTTTTAGAGACGAAACAATCAACCAAGTAAAAATAATAAAATCCTAATAATATTAAGGATAATTAAAAAAAAGTTAAACATGTATCAAAAAGCATATATAATAAGAAATTAATAAATAATAAGTTTTATTAAAAATTTACTTAATTCTAATATTTAATTAAAATAATTAATAAATTGTAAGTTTTTATTAAAAATTATAATATTTAATATTATCAATACACTGAATTTAGTGATATCGTAAATTTTTAATAAAAAATGACTATATATAGGTTTTTATTGTGTCTTAAACACATTAAAATATTTTCCAAAAATACTAAACGTATTAATAAATTTAATTTCGTTAATAAAGTTAAATTATTTTTTAATTATTCTAAAATAGTTAAAATGATCTTATATTTAGAACTAAGAATAATAATTAAAATAATCTGATGAAAACAAAACGGGAACTAAAGTGTTATTTAAAGACAATATGATGGGGAGTAATTTATCTAAAAGTAGAACAGACCTAAATATGAATTACAGAAAGAGAACGATTTATCATCTCAATGATCAGGTTCAGTCACATTCCAATGCTGGTGATATATTTATTGTCTTTAACAGCAAATGGACACGCTATAGTAGTAAATGTTGTCTTTGCCTAAGGACTTTTCCTTTTTATACAAGCTGAGGTCTAAAACAAACAAAGTGCATTACACTTTGAAAATGATCTTTCCATAATTCTCAAGATATTGGGTTAACTAAGCCATGCGTATGGTTGAAGATGGCCATGCAAAAAGCCATTACTTATTGATTAATAGCCTCACGAAATGTGTGTGATTGAATATCACTTGCCAAACCAACCTTCACGAGAGCATGATACCAAATTTTGGAATACATTAATTAACAAACTTACAATTTAGCAGCAATTTTTTTTTTTTACATTATTCCAAAATATTTTCAATTAATTCAAAATCATTAAACGTGTGCACCAAAAAGAAAGAGGAAGGTATTAGATCTGGGCTTTTTTATTTAAATATTGCAAAATAAGAAACAATTTATTAAAATAGTGTATTTTTAAAACAAATTCCGTGTCTAAGGTCGGGCCGCACAATATTGCCAAAACGACTGGCGAAACTTATTATTTTAATATTATAAAACAAGTTTCGCTAAACGAAGGGCGAAAGTTGAAGGTAATTTCGCCATTCACCCAGCGAAATATGAAAAACTAGACACATTAGAGAGCGGTTCAAACTCATTAGATGGGATTTTTGAGAGCGGTTCAGTAGTAACCGCTTTCTAATGTCACTCTAAGAGAGCGGTTCAGTTTGAACCGCTCTCTAATGTCAATCTTGGAGAGCGGTTCGAAAAGAACCGCTCTCAGAAGTTCTCATAAGAGAGCGGTTCAGGGAGAACCGCTCTCAGAAGTCAATATTAGAGAGCGGTTCAAAAAGAACCGCTCTCAGAAGCTCTCATAAGAGAGCGGTTCAAGAATAACCGCTCTCAGAAGTTGTAATTTACGCCATTTTTCCTGCGAAAACGTTTTTAACGCATATCTTTTGGCGAAACCTGGTATTATTTATTCCTACCCCTACCCCCTCTCATCCGAGGCTCATTTTGCAATCGAAAAACAGGAACGAGAAAGGAGAAAGGAGAAAGGAGGAAGGAGGAAGGAGAAAGGAGAAAGGAGAAAGGAGAAAGGAGAAAGGAGGAAGGAGGAAGGAGAAACAGGAACCGCTCTAAGAGGACTTCTGAGAACGGTTCTTGTGAAACCGCTCTTATAAAATCACTTCTAGAGAGCGGTTTAAAATGAACCGCTCTCTAAGTTTACTTATGAGAGCGGTTCCAAAAGAACCGCTCTCTTTAAACCGCTCTCTATTGCTCCTACGTTCTTTTACTTTCGCCCTTCGTTTGGCGAAACTTGTTTTATAATATTAAAATAATAAGTTTTGCCAGCCGTTTTGGCGATATGTGTGCTGCCCGACCCCAGACAGGGAAATTGTTTTAAAAATACACTATTTTAATAAATTGTTTTTTATTTTGCAATATTTAAATAGAAAAGCCATTAGATCTGGCACCATTACAGAGCTAGATAGGAGCATATATCCAAATTCGTAGCATACCTGTCCAAACTGCACAATAATTAGGGCCAACCTTTGAATTGAACCATCTATGATATATACACTTAATCTGCAGCAAAATGCCAGCCAATCCAAGTAATCTTCAGAGACTTCCTCTATCAATGCATGACATATGTTTAGTCAATGACGAATCTAGAAAATTTAAGCTGTGAACACAATGAACATACTAAAACTAGACACTAAAATAATTTATATAATTATAATTATTTTATTAAATAAAAATTAAAGACAAATATTAAACTAATTAAGTGGCATTAAATATAATAACAATAAACATTCGAGACATCTTATTAAATAATATTAAAATAAAGAAATATCGTGTGGGGTTGCTGCCCTCATAAAACACAATTTTGATCCGTCCTTATGTCTCTTTCATTGTCTTTTTTGCTGGTTGTCTTGATCTTCTCGTATACATTTTGTCTCACTAAACAGAAAAAAATGGTTGGTGTAGCCCTATTTCTACCAATTAACAGTCGACACCAAGTATTATTTTGCTCGAAAAAATTTATAAACGAATTTCAAGATTTATTGTTAATGTTGTTGTTTATATATGAGGATAGTTTACATAAATCCCAGGTTGTTTTCATAGAATGAAGTCTATTCATACGTAGAGAAACATCATATTTCTAAATAATATGTAAAACTATTCTTAAAATATAGATATCTCCCTAGTCACAACGAATAAAAAGAAAACTGAATCTAATGTGCGATAACTAACATGGCTTGTCTGTATAATGGGAGCTCTTTTCATTTTTATATAGTTGTATATGTTATCTTTAACTTTGTGGGTCATGCCACGGAAGAGAATTATTAATCAGTGTTAATCATGCTAATAATTGTAACAAGAGATTGCAGACAAAAACTAATAAAAATAATAATGAAGAACACTCTTCTCACGGGTCCATGACAGAGAAACATGCACCAAATACTAATAATTTATACACACAGTATAATAATAGTCATGATGACCTATCAACACGAATCAGCAATTGATTTTTGAAAAAGGGAACTAATGTTAGCATACTTTTACGGGTCAGCAAAGATGGTGTTTGTCTAAAGTTAATATATATTTTAAATTTTATCAATCTATTTAGGGTGAGATTGTTTATCTCAAAAATAATTTAAGCAAATCCTAGTAACCATTCAGTTCTTGGCTGTTTTGTCCTGATAAGGACTTCTTTACTGATACCAAAGCTGAATAGAGAATATCCCTGAAGACACATGTCAAAAGGGTAAACAGCTACACAACGAAACTTGCCTTCATGTTAATCACACTCAAGATGGGTAGTTTTTTTTTAAAGAAACAAATTGAAAGAATATGCACCGATTTTTAGGTAAGTGAATAGTAAAGAAAATGCAACATTAATTTCTTGTGCATAATGATACATATAGTATTAAATAGGAAAATGATAAGTTTATAATATCTTTAAAATGGAGAAGGAAGGTATATATAGAAGAAAAGAAAATAAAAAATATGATAAAAGTTAATATAAAAACATTAATACTCTATTATATCATTTCTTGTATTTAGACATTGAATTAAGGTATAGTCACTCACCGATTAAAACTAAATTGGAAATTGAATCTCTCTTCAACCTTCACGATAATATCCGAACCTTTTCCAATGCTATATATTTATGTAAGTTTATACATTTAATAAGATGAAAAAAGGAAAATAATAAATAATACGATGTTGCAAAAAAATATATTATATAAATACTATTGTTATTTTTACAAATCACCTTCTTTAAAATTTAATCTATCTCAAATTCGAATCCTTATAAACATATTTATATTAAGTATTAGTGTGAAACAAGATTGTCTACACCAAAAAAAGAAAATACCCTCCTTAGAATATTCACGCATCTCCTCTTGACTTGTCCAAAGCCAATTACTGACTGGAAACAAAAAGAACAGATACTGTCCTTTGACTGTTTTTACCAAAAGATTTGATGGCTAGTTGCGGTCGTTAAGCATGATAATGATGCTCAAGAGTGAACATCATGCTTTATCAAGAATAATAGCGTCAAAATAAAATATTATAGTACTTAATTTTATGTTTATGTTTTTAAAAAATATTTATGTATTTTTATATTTATTAAACAATAATTTTAATCTCTATTCTATACTTGTTGAATATATAAATCTTCATACTATCTTTGTTTCTTGTAGTTTAATCAATTAAAATATAATTTTTATATTTTATTTACAAATTAATAAAATACATTGATAATACAACATAATTTTTAATATTAGGATATTAAATTCAAATATTATAAATTATAATATTATTCGTATAAAGTCTAAAAAGAAAAAAATAAATACAGTGATAAAAAAAGAATATAAATTTAGGGTAAAATTATAAAATGATACCGGGTATAATAATAATAATAATAATAATAATAATAATATTATTATTATTATTATTATTAAAGAAATATTACAAATTACTATACTCATATTTTAGGCTTAGGGAGATAAATATAAAAATATAATGATACAAAATCTAAATTTATTATTACATATATTTGTTACATTTTATATCTATATTTTGTAGATGAACGAGAGAAAGAGGAGAGACGTGAACTTTCAATTAGCTATTTTAATTCTATTCATTATTTTAATTTAACGGTTGAGAATTTTTTTAATCTTTTCTCACATAAATAATATCATTTTTACATTATACATATATGTAATAAATATAAATATAAATTATAATAAACGCATATAAAAATAAATTTAAAATTTTTCGTTATAATATGCATAAAGAGGGTGCGAATAAATAACTCTATGTATTGTAGTACTCGTACTTGTACCCATTTAATTTTGTTAATAATTATCTTAATTTATTTTTAAACTCGTTAAGTGGTTAGTCTACTCATTGTTGATATGTTTTATAGTTACTCATAATACACTAGAAAGAAAAATCTTCTGCCACTAATTTTTATCACTACAATCAAAATTTGGCGAGTCAATAATGAATCGATTTGGCTATTCACAAAAACTCGATTGATTCACAACGCTGTTTACCTTCACTTTTCAACCCAAGTCTCTTTCTTTGTCATTTAAGACATTACGTGTTGTTGATCAATGTTCTTTGCACCACCTTCCATTTTCCAATCCATTAATTCTTGATTTTGTATGCAAAGGTCTCTTCCCTTCTCTGGGCGATAATTCTTTTTCCTTTGTCTTGCAATGTTTTGATCATTGTGGTAGGATATATACAATTCTTGAAATTGAATTCTTTTTTGCACACCAATTATTCTTGCTTGTTATGATAAATATGTGCATATATATATATATATATATATATATATATATAAATTCTTATATTTAATATGAATCTTTTATTTAACTTAAATTTAACGAATTAGTTAGATTTAAGTTTGTTAAATTTAAGTTAAATAAAATATCTAAATTGAGTGTACTAGCATATTTTTATATTTTAAAAATCATATTAGATGTTAAATAAATTTATATAATAAATTACCAATTAGTGAAATATTAATTTTTTTATTTGCATGAATTTTTATAAACATAATCTACTCAATAAGATATTTTAAAACTCATAGTTTTATGGTTTATTTAGGCCTCTAAACAAGTTAATTGCATACTTGAGCTACCTATACCAGGTTCTATTTTTGAAAAGCACCCGAATAAGATTTGCACCATTCTTTCTAGTCCCATTAAAGGCCTTGATCAGGCAGGGACATCATCTCGTGAAGCTGAAAATAATCTGACCTAGTAACTTCTAACAGTCCTATTTCCACAATATGAACCAATTAGCTGTTTTTTAAAAATATTTTATTTATCATTATACAAAACTTGAAAAAAGGCATTGATTTGTTTTTTATTTATCCTTTTTTCTTAGTATCTTCCGGATGTGAAAGAACATCAGTAAAATAAATGAATAATGTAGTAAAATTTAGTTATAAGTTTCTAAAATTAAAAATATTTAAGAATTTTCTTAATCCTTATCCAAAAACACCCTTAAATTAAAAAAAGGAGTACACATTAACAAGGTCGAGAAACTTCTACAGTTTGTTTCCTTGATAGTTGATTCTGTTGCAAATGTAACAAGCTTCTTTACCATTATTCTCGAAAATAAAAGTAACTGACCTAATATAAGATACTGTGTACAAATAAAAGGGACCAAAAGTCTTCAGAGCAGAATGAAAGGGGGAGTGCAAGTCCTGGAAAATTAAAATGAAAGCTAAACCATTCATTATTTTTTCTGAGGCCAGCACAGAACTAACCTCATTGCTTAATAACTCCTTTAAAAGATGAGGAGCCTCTAGAAACAGTGGTTAACCATTAAACAGTACATAAACATTCAAACTAAACTGCCAATAAAATTTGAGACACAAGATATGCTACCATAAGCCATGGACTAGTAAAGCACAAAAATATATGCAGATATATCATTTTGAAAAAAATGTGCATATTATGTATGCTCATACAGATAATAAGCATGAGACATCGAAAACTATGAATCTGTTGTACTTATGACTCTGATTGGTGTTGCTCCAACTGTTGTGATTGCTCTTGCTGATCACCTTGCCAAACCCAAACAATATCATGGAGAGCAGGCCTTATGTCCTCTTTCAATATTTTATGATATTCCAATGTGTCTCCATTTGATTTTTTCACCTCTACCAAATGCAAAAGTGGAGTAACCTCAAAGATCTCAGCATCAATGGATAAAATCCCCTTCCTACCTTCTTTAAGGCCCTCCAATTTCAACAAACCTGCAGCTCTTTTCCTTATTTTCAGCTTCAGTCTCTTAGCAATTTCTTCGAGCTTAGATATGATGACTGATGCAGGTTGCCTTGAAGTGAACCTTGCTTCCCTTTTCTCAATACTGTCTTCAAAAAATCCACAAAGATTAAAACCGGGTGAAAGGGAGATGATATCAAAGGCATTTATACTAACTGGCACTACTGACTCTTTTCTCGCTTCGGCTGCTAGACCGTCATTGTCATTGCATTGTTCAGAATTATTTCTAACCGCGGGAGGGACAGCCTTGTTTTCCCCTTCATGTGTTTTTTGTCTACCATATGGCCCTTTCCTATACCAAGAACATTTCTTAATCTTGTCTATGGAAATCCTAGTGTCAGGATTTGGATCCAACATCTTGGACAATAGACGCTGAACCGCTCTTGGGAACCAATTAGGACATGTAAACTCTGCCTTGCTTATCTTCCTATACATCTCCATCAAATTTGAGTCATGAAAAGGAATATGACCTGCCAGTAACACAAACAAAACCACCCCACAAGACCAAATATCGGCTTTGGCGCCATCATAACCTTTCCTTTGGATGACCTCAGGAGCGACATAGGCAGGTGTTCCACAAGTTGTGTGCAGCAAACCGTCGCGTCGTTTGGACTCAGCCAGGGCACTTAACCCAAAATCTGACACCTTAAGGTTCTCATTCTCATCCAACAGAATGTTCTCTGGCTTTATATCTCTGTGGTACACGCCTCTACTGTGACAAAAATCCACTGCATTGATTAGCTGTCTAAAATACTTGTGTGCAACTTCTTCTTTGAGCTTTCCTTTGGCCACCTTTCTAAAGAGCTCACCACCTTTAGCATATTCCAGAACAAAGTAAATCTTACTCTTCGTGGCCATTACCTCAAAAAGATGAATTATATGTGGATGTCTGACCATTCTCATAACAGATATTTCCCTCTTAATATGATCAGCTTGTCCAGTTTTGACAACCTTATCCTTGTCAATCACTTTAAGAGCCACACTTTGGTTAGTTATTGTACTTCGTCCATAGTAAACCTTTCCAAAGGTACCTTGGCCGAGTAATCTTCCTAATTCATATTTTTGCATCAAGATATTTGATGTATTCTCCATTGTAGACATTAAAGTAAGATGAAACAATTAAACACCAATTCCGCAGCCAGTTAAAATCTTTATATCATTTACAAATATAAAGATTTATAGAAGCAAATACGCGATTCAACCGTCTTCTCGCAGGTGATGTAGAAACACAACAAGAACAACAAAAAAACTTGTGTGCCAATTGTGCATCAAGGAATAGCGAAAGAATGAGCTAGAGGTTTTTGATCCACTCTTATAAATTACTAACCAGGGCAGTAATACAAAGGACGTAACCTCATGAATCTCAGAGATAGAGCACATCTTTCGGCATCCCCTTTCTATGTCAAACACAGCTGAAGAATATGTACAAATATGTGTGCTGCAAATTTTGGGTAGGAACTGAAAATTTGGGAAGTTGATTTTGCAGAGGGTGTCAGTGATAGTCTGAAAACAAAAGAAACATTAATACTCACTTCAATAATTGTTTCAGAAAAAATAATTGTTATTATTTGATTATATATCAGGGTCTCCAAGAAAAAAATACACAAACTAAAATAAAAATCAATGACTAATCATAGAACACAATCAAGATTTCATGACAGAACTCTCAGCGCAAACCAGATTCTTCCTCAAAACATGCGATGTTTAAAATTTTACATGAAAAATTGACTGCAAACAACAACAATCAATTCCAGATATTAAATTTCGATTTAATTTGATTTCAATTCAATTCATGCAGAGTGACAGACAGGAGTGGATTTATAAAATCTTAGGAATCTCAACCCATGATTTTTGCAATAAACAAAATGAAAATGCCAATATGCTTCATCTCAAAGTTTCAAGATCAAATTCACTGCACAACTAGCTATACGAATTTGTGTGCTCAAATAATCAGAAAATAACGAACACGTTGATGTTACTCTCACAAAGTAAAGCAGAACATTAGACAGAACCAAAGGACCAAAATAAATAAATAATTGGAACCTAACCTTCTGAATTGAGATGGAGCAGTGCGAGACAATGTTGTAGCTGTAGATGCACCCACCAACCTAGAGAAAGAGAAGGAGTAAAGATTTGATAAAGTGCAAGGTTTTAAAAAGATGAAAATGAATTTATTAATTAATTATCAGAGCCATTACCCGTTTTAGTATTTGAATATTATATTTTTTTCCGGTTTTTATATGTTAGGTTTAAAAATGAAAATGAGTTTGTTAATTAATTTTCTATTATATATTTATTATAAAAATATTTATTTTAATTATTCATTCATGGTATGCAAATGCAATTTGGAGATTACAATGATTACCTAATGAGACAAATGAAATATAACCAAACACGTGTAAGCCCATTAAGGCGTCACGAGCAGGGTAGAATCCTCAAGATCCCACCTCATGCTATTGACCGTAGGCTGCATTTATGATATTGCCACGTAGCTGGTTCTTTCTTTATAACAAAGGCACCAAATTCACCGCCAACAACTTGATAGCGCCACGTTGGCACGCAACCGCTATTATCCTCACGTGTTAACGTGTACGAGATTAATTTGAGACCGAAGAACTGCCACGTGTTGAACCAAATTTAGTTTATCTTAAGAAACTTTTTAAATTTTGGTAAATTTTATGGTTGTAAATCATTCTACATCCATCCTCTTCAGCACGTAGAATAAGTATACTAGTTAGTCTTATCTTAAATATATATAATAGATAATAAAATTATTTTTCATTAATCAGTTTAGATGTTTTAAAATATATTTATTATCACATTTATTGTACCCTTATTCTTTACAAAATTTTTAATTATTTTTTATATTATTTGCAAAAATAATAACTAATTATTGTAAGGTTTAAAAATTAATAATATCAAATAATAGTTTTTTGATAAAATTATCCTTTTCATTTCTTAATTTTAGAGTAAAATTTACTTTTATTCTTTAATTTTTTTTAATTCTTTATTTTTGTAATTTCTAAAAAAGCTTTAAATAGGTTATTTTCTCGTTAAAAAATTTAATTACATTAAAAAGTTTTGTCATTTTATGCTATTATATTATGTGTTATTATTGATTGTCTTTCTTCTCAAATCTCCAACTTTATCTCTAGCATCTATTCTTCTTCCTTCTCTCTTTCATCTTCATTTTTTTTATACTTAAAATTTTATCTTCTTGTCACTAACACTAAATATTCACTCTCAACTTTCAAATTCTAAATAACTTAACTTTATAATACTCCTTAATTCTCACATCGAGAATCTTTTTAAGTTAGTTTGGGAATGAAACGGACCTCTAGTATAGGTGTATTCTTATGCAAAATTATCTATAGAAGAGATAATAAATTTGTTATACATGTTTTTTAGGGACTGTTGAGTAGTCAAGTCTATCTATATAAAGAGATTCTACCCCTGATTTCTAGGTATCTTTTTTCATCTTTGGATTGTCCAATTGGTTGATTTTCAATCTTACTAAGTTGAACTTTTTCTTATATTCCCTTTGGAACATTTTATTTGGTATAGTTAACTAGAACCTATGAAAGAATAAGAATTATGCTATCTTTCAAAATAACCCTTTGAATAATCAGGTTTTGTTACATAAAATGTTCTATAATATTGATTACTTTCATTTTTGTTGCAGGAGTAATATGAGAAATGTTTTTGATACTTGGGTGTTCTAAGGCAGGTGAAATGGCAGCCCCCTCTAAACATGCAGTTAAAAATTGATATAGATGATGTTGTATCTCAATTTTTGAGTCTAGCTAGCTATTGAAGCTTAATCCGTGATAAGCTTGAAAGTTTCATAGTTGATTTCTTCAAATTTTAGATCATTGCCCCCTTTTAGCTGCTAAACTTAGGGATATATTGGAGGATACAACTAGTTATTTCTAAAAACATCCAATTTATTTAGATTGAAAGTAATTCAAATAAAGCTATTTATTCAGTTATTATTAATGTTGAGAATAATGATCATCTTTTTCTCTATGTTATCAATGAAATTAGAAAGTTGCTTAAATGTATAAAATTTGTCAAATTTAATCATGTTCTTAGAGAGGCCAGTCAAAATATTAATTGGTTGACGAAGATAGAACTTAAACTTAGTTTATTTTATTATATTTTTGAGGAAGCTCTCCTTTTTTTGGTTTCTTTTTTTAAGTTAAATGCTTTAAGGACCGCTTGATCTAGGCTGGTTACCCAAGTTTCTTTGTTCAGGCTTTTAGCCCATTCATCAAAAAAAAAAAAAAAAAACTTCATGAGTCCTTGAAAGAGCAACTTAATTTTTCTTTTGGACGTTACATAATTGGCAATGCATTTTCTTTAGTAGGACTATTTTGGGAATGTATTCAAATAGGTTTTTATTTAGTTTTTTTTATATAATAATTTATATTACAGATATTTTAAAATTAAATTAAAAATTACTTATTTTCTGAATTATGCTTAGAAACTCATTAAAATAAATTAAAAAGAGCATTTTAGAGTTATGAGCAATTTGGATAAACTTTTCATTAGTTCTAAACTTCTTTAAGCCTATAAGTTCAATAAGCTAAAACTTGTGTTATTAGGTATATGGTTTAACAACTTTTATTTTTCTATCTTTCTAAATCAATCAAAGTTTTACTTTCCATTTAAAATCCTTTATTATACGAAAGTTTTTCACACGCGACTTAGCATGAGGGGTCCCATTTCCTTGGCAATCTGTTTCAAGGTAAACTTCTGAATCTTCCCCGTCGAAGTCTTGGGAAGCTCATCCTTGAAAACCACCGTTTTCGGAACCATATAACGGGGCATGTTCTTCCTACAATACTCAATTATCTCCTTCTCCGTCGGTTTCTCCCTCACCCCTTCCTTCAAACTCACGAACGCACACGGCGTTTCTCCCCAATACACGTCGGCTCTTGCCACCACCGCTGCCTCGTTCACCGCCACGTGTCCGTAAAGCACCGACTCTACCTCCACACTACTCACATTCTCACCCCCACTGATAATCACGTCCTTCGACCTATCCTTAATCTCAAGATACCCATCCTCATGCATAACACCAACATCCCCAGTGTAAAACCACCCGTTTTTGAAACAACTCGCCGTTTCTTCAGGGTCCTTAAGGTACCCTAGCATAACACACCCTCCTTTCAAAACCACTTCTCCAACCGTAACCCCGTCGCGTCTCACGCTCTCCCCCGTCGGACCCACCACGTCCAACTCCGTCATCCCCACCGTCCTCACCCCTTGCCGCGCCTTCAGCCTCGCCCTCTCCGTCGCCGGAAGCCGATTCCACTTCTCCTTCCACGCGCACGTCACCACCGGTCCTCCTGTTTCTGTCAATCCATACACGTGGTTCACCGCGAAACCCAGCGACTCCGTGCGGTGGAGCACCGCCGCGGGAGGCGGCGCTCCCCCTGTTAAGACATGAACCGGTTTTTGAAGCGGTTTGTTGTCGGGGGAGTTTGTTAGCATGTTAAGAACGATGGGTGCGCCGCACATATGAGTCACGTGATGGCGGTTAATGAGAGAGTAGACGATTCGGGCGTCGAATTTTCTGACGCAGACGTTGGTCCCCCCCACGGCTGCCATCCCCCACGCGAGGCTCCACCCATTACCGTGGAACAGCGGGAGAGTCCAGAGATAAACCGGGTTTTTAGGAACCGCCCAGTCGACGAGTGTATCGACGGTTATCATGAATGCCCCTCTGTGGCAGTGGACTACTCCTTTTGGAGACGACGTCGTTCCTGAGGTGTAGTTAAGTACCATTGGGTCCCACTCCGAGTTGGGCCGGACCCAGTTGAAATTTGGGTCAACCTTGTTCACGAGGCCCTCGTAGGTGTCTATGAAGTCAACGGTTGGGGAGGCTTGGGGTTCGATTGTGGGGTCGGTGATGAGAATGAGGAGTGGCCGTTGAGTGTGCTGAGGAGGGAACAGGGACAAAGCTTGGAGGACGAGGTCGCGTGAGGCGCAGTCCACGAAGACGAGCGTGGAGTTGGAATGACGGAGGATGACCGAGATGGTGTGGGCGTCAAGGCGGGTGTTGATGTTGTTGAGGATGGCGCCGGCGAAGGGGACGGCGAACTGGAGCTCGTACATGGCGGGGATGTTGGGGGCGACGGCGGAGACGACGTGGCCACGGGCAATGCCGATGGCGGAGAGGGCGGAGGCGAGCTGGAGGCATCGGCGGTGGGTTTGGGACCACGTGAAAACGGTGTCTTTGTAGATAACGGAGGGGGTGTCTCCGTATGCTGTGGCGGCTCTGTCCAAGAATCCGAGTGGAGTGAGTGGGGAAGAATTTGCAGCGCTTGGCTTCAGTTGTTCCATTTAGTTAGCGTTGGAGGGGATATTCGAAACTCTAACCATTGTGGGGTAATTTATAGTCCACATCAGTGATGCAGTGTAGCTTTCCAAATAAAATAGGTTTGATGAAGAATATAACGTTCAAAATGTGAAGTCTATAAAATTAAGTTTTTATTCAAATCGTGCAGAGTGATTTTTTTCCTTTTTTTTATTGAGAAAATGATTGCTTGACAGTCTAGTTTTGGATTCGTCGTAGGCGAGATTACAATATTGAAAAAGCAATGTTTATATATATTTTTTATATTTTGATTGTATATGAAACAATAAGGTCTTTTTCTTTTTTATTATCCATCAACAAAGGCACGTGTTTAAGTGTGAATAAAAAATAACAAAGTCGTATTTAGCAACTACGAGTTTGATGTGATTTGACATGAAATTAAATGCATAGTACATCACACGAATTACTTGCACTTCTTTTCAAAAATAAGTTATATAAGGCTGAATTTGTGTGTGTAATTCAAGCGATAACAGTACTCAGACAAGGGGTTTGGGTATTCTAATAACTAATAATAAGCTTCTAAATCGAAGGGCATAAACCACATCCACTCGTAGTAGTTGATGAAGTTTGAATTTTCTAGGGACGACAGTGAGCAAACCAATTCAGACTTATAATTTATATGTGAGGTGCTTTGGTATTTTTGAATAAAAAATCACAAACTCACACTTAACACACTTCGACTTAAAAAGGAAAAAAAAAAAAGATTCAGACTCTTCATATACTATATTTGAATAAAAAATTATCACTGTATCATTTTATAGTTTTTTAAAAGATTATTTGCACAATAAACTAAAATAACTGTTATGTGAAAGTGACTTCATAAAATAATTTTTCAAAAGTAATTTTAAAGAGTAGTTATATATCAACTGATTTTAAAAATTAAAAAAATATAAAAATTATAATAAATTTTAAGTGTTTATAAAGACGGAATATTTCTCAACTTATAGCAACATTGAGAATCCACTTGTAAGACAAGAACCAATAAAATCACACATACATCAAGAAATAACAGACCAACACATTATTCTAAGATTTTGAAGATCCTAATGCATAAATCATGAACTGATGTGATGCTTGTCGGCAAGATACAAAAACAAAACAAAACATTGAAAATAATCAAAATTATAATCTTTCAAAGTTAGAATTCGAGAAAAGGTTGTCAATAATTTAAATTTCTCTTATCTCCTATGATAAAATTGTGTGCTGGTATGTATGCAAAAATGTTTATTGTAAAATAAAATAGTTTTTTTTATCTGACATGATCTAAGTAACTTTTATAAAATATTTTTAAAAAAAGTCTGATATAAAATATTGATATGTAGTAATGCTTGTTGGTTCTGTTCTCTCTTATAAATAGGAAAAGAACTTAATAGTTGACATGGGGTAATGAATATCAAGTATTTAACCTATAATAACGTTATGCATGCTTCAAGGCTTTTTCTTTCTTTCTTAAAGGTCAACTTATAATGTTTGTATCACAATATAATTATCTTTATTGAAAAGTAAATATGCTTTGCACTTATCTCATTGCGAATATCTTATGTATTAGAGAATTTTTTACTAATGATGCGAATTACTGTATTCTCTATTATAAGAAAAATACGTTAAAAGTAATAGTTCTTAAGAAAAATTGTCTATGATTGACTTATCTCAGGATAGTGAAATAGCCCTATTGTTCTCATGCAAGGAGAAATATTTGATCAATTAAAATTCATCCATATTTAATAAATTAACAGACAAATTTATTAAAAGTTGAAGAATTTGTTGAAATTTTAAAGTTGAAAATGAAATATGAGAGTTGATAAGTTATGTTTCTTTTGTACACCTTTTATGGTTCATAAGTTGACAATTTATGTAATTCAATTAAAAATAAAAATGCTTTCTAAAATTAAATAGTCCGTTGAATTCTAAAATAAATCATAAAAAAATATCAGCGATAGAAAGGAAAAAATTTACTTTCAACTGTTTAGTTTTAGCTACTTTATTAAATAAAATCATTTTAGTTAAATGAAAATTTTAATCAACATATGTCTAAAACCATATCTAAAAGGTAAAACAAGCAACTTTGAACTGTCCGCACGTATTGTAAAGATATAATTTTAAAGAAAATATTGTCCGTAGGGAATGGTAGCAAAGAGAAATATATTATATTATGAATGATATATGTGTTCGTGGTATCAATAATTCCGTGCAAGAAGTCAGTGAAAGTATGCTTAAGAAAGTACTTCTTCTTAACTCGTGATAAAATATAGTATACAAATCTTATATTTTAAAACTTAATTTTAATAAGAGTTTGTTTGAGAAGAAAAGTTATAGAGGAAAGAAAAAGATAAATTTTATATTTTAAATAAATATATTTAAAATTATTATTTTAAAAATAAAAAAATATAAATTAATATATTAACTATAAATTTATTATTATAAGTAATGTATAATTTTTTTAATTTAAAATTTTAAAAAATGTCTTTCACTTTCTTTTTTTCTAAAATCTTCTTCCTAAACATTCTGCAATAGACTTTTACCCACTTGCAATGATTTACCATTATGTATATAGAAATAAATTGATTTTCAATCTATTAAAATAGTAGCATGATTTATTCTCATTAAAAATTTTCTAAATATTTACGAGTGGCTGTTTCTTTTACATTCTTATAATTGTTGTTTTTCAGCATTGATTATTAATTTAAATAATTATTTTTCTACATACAAATCTTTAGTGATTATTTAACTAACTGTATGTATTTTAAAATAACTTTAACTAATAAGTTCTGAGTGAAAATTTTAATTAAGTAATACAAACACGTTTATATGTGACTTTATTTTAATTCAATTATTTTTTATTTGGTTTAATTTAGATCTAACTTGAGTCGTACATTTAAACATAGTAAGTGAGTCTATCACTAAATTTGTTTTTGCATACACAAAAATTTGAACCTAATATATTGTTTAAAGAATATCGAGTCATTTATCATTCAGATCAATTTTCGTTGATTTATTATCTAAAGTATTTTTGATTGACTGTTTTGTGTTGTGTTTAGGGTTTACCAAAATTGATGTATTAAAGAATAGTCAAAGTTGAAATGAAATATTTTAATTAACCTAATAAAATGTTTTATGTTCATGTCCTACACTAATCAAAGTTGAGATAGACCTAATTGAGTCATATATTGCATCAAATGAATATTCATATGTGCGGCTGTTAGAGTCCTGATAATAATAAAAATGTTTCTCGAAAACAATTTTGTTAAACAACCATTAATTGCTTTCTTTATTTTTTGATACATTTTTGAAACACATGTTTATGAAAAATAAAATAAATGAAAGCATGTCCATGTTCCCAAAGGTCGTACATAAACTTAGAGAGGTGAAACATTCTTGTGATTTCGGTCGATGAGGTGAAAAACATTCAAGTACCAATTGTAATATATGAACCACTAAGAGAAGGACCAACACTGTGATTTTGGGTCCACTGGGCACGCAAGTTTAGTGAGTCAGGCTTTGCGTCTTATAAGAGATGGGTATGAGATCAGCTTAGTGGGCATGGCATGGGTTATGGAATTACATCTTAAGAAAACTCTTGGTTTCCTCTTCTTGGCCCATTGAGCAGATGTACCTATTTCCAAAACCCATAAGATGATAGATTCATAAAATAAAATAAGAATAAATACGATGAAATAAAAATGATAGAATTAATATAACATTAAAAATAAAAGAAAATAATAAGTGAATAAAATTGAGCAAAAAGAGATGTTCACATAAGTAATTGTAGGTTACCAAAGTTTTGATCATTATTTGTTAGTCCTTGAATTGGTTTTTACATAAAAGTATAGTATTAAGTTACATATAATAGGAGTTCATAGTCAAAATTTTCCCTTGTTGCCGTGTCTCTCGACTATTCTTTATACATGTCTATCCACATCTAAACCTTATGAGCAATAACAAAATTCATTTCAAAGTTTCTTACTTGCCCTAGTGATTTCTCCTAATTATTCCAGCTATTTATTTAGCTTATTGATAGTATATCAAAGCAGAACAATCTTTTGTCCATGCATTCATTCTGCACTTAAGCAAAACAAAATTGACATTCTCAAGACAATAATAATCATAAAATGGAATGAAACTGGAAATATTAGAAGAGAATATTCACGTTAAGACTAAAGAATACATATCTACTTTCATTGGAAAATATCACCGTGTTAACAACTTGACATTGCTTCCCTTTTTCATTTGCAGCTTTTCATTTACTTGGTTAATAATAGAATATATTTGTAATACCTACTTCTCCTTCGTCCCTTCCTGATCATGAATCTTGTTCTTGTTTCTTCAACACAATGGATTGATCCATTCATAGGAAAATATCACCATATATTTCAAAAAATGTTAGTATTTGATCTAACATTGGGGTATTCTAGCTGGAGAAGAACTACTGTTTATTATGGGAAAATTTTGAAGTGACAAGATTTCAGCCAGTACGTAAGGAGTGAAATGTTATAAACAGATTGATACAAGTGAGCATAACTGTAGCAATAACAGAGCTGAAAGTTAATATCATGCATTCCACTAAATAAAGTCTTAAATATTAAAGGATAACCATTAAACTTATTCATTCATTTGAAATATTCTGGTCAGTTTCAAAACCGAAGATGTTGCAACACATGTGCTTATTGTATATTCTGAAATGAAAGCATAATATTCTATTATTAAAGATTAAATTATTCTAAAGGTTCTAAACTTTTTAGAAAATTGCTAATAAGTGTTTATATGCTGTAAAAGTTTGCATTTAAGTACTTGAATTTTTAAATTAAATCCCTTATCAGATTTTTGTTTGAATTTCCTTAAGTGTAGGGATTTTTAATAATAAATTTTTAAATAGTTCAAATTAAAAAAAAATTGTAACATGATTCCTTAATATTTTAAAAATTTATAATTAAATTTTTATACTTAATGGAACTCTTAAAAAAAATAAAGAACGTAATTAAAATTAATTAAATTTTTTTAATTTAAAACCTATTTACAAACCTTTAAAATATAGAAATTTTTTACCCATTATTAAAAATTCCACTTTAGACACTTAAATGAAACATGATATAACCATCAAACCCGTTTGAAACATATATATTATTTTTTAAATGTTATCTATACTTTTTTTAAATAAAAAATTGTGTTTAATGTTATTTTAGATTAATGACATGAAACTTTAATTCTGATTAAAAAACCACACACTTACACACACATAAAGTAAAATTAAATCTTTAAAAAGGCTAAAATCAAAATTACACAAAATGGACTAAGTTTCTATTCAAGCCATTAGTTAATAGCAGTAAGGAATAGAAAAAAAATAAAATTAAGGAGAGATGGTTAACAGTTGGAATCAACTAGTTCAAATTTTGTTCAATCAACTGGCAATTGAAATTTAATTGACCCAGACTAAAGCTTTATAATTGGCTTAAAACCAGTGGGAGAGTTTTGGCAAAATTCCATGGAAGAGCCAAAGAAAAATTATTATTTTTTATAAGAGAAGCCAACGCCCAAAACAAAACTAAGATTTCCCGAACCAAACATTTGCAACAACTTGCGATATTTTAGATTAATAATTTTCTTGTAAAATTTAGAGATGATCTATAAGAACAACAAAGATTCTTTTTCCTTTGTTCGTTAGTTATAGGAAAAAAATAAAATAATAATGTGTAGCTTTCCCTTGGAAGGCGACTTTCGATTCCTAAGTTACACTTAAATCATCACTTCTCGATCCACTTTTGTTAGGTCTTATCTCAATTCCAGAGTCTGATTTAAGTTATTGTGATGCCGTTAGATAGTTAATTCATGTCTTCAATTGTGCCTCCTTATTTTGGAGGCTTGTGGTTCTTTCAACTCATAAAATGCTATCATTACATTAAATTACACAAATAGGTACTAATTAGTAGTGATGGGATAGGCTAACTGATGTTATTTGTTGGATAATTGCCATTTGGGAGTGGGTAATATTTTTGTTGACTCTATTATCTTTAGGCGGCAACTTGGTAAATGGGAATTTTCTTTTATTTTAATTATGAATTCACAATTCCCACTACGTGCTAAACTATTAAATCTATCATTGAAAATAAAATAAAATTCAATTAGTTAATAAATGAGCACTGATTATTTGCCTGTAATAGAGGGACGAAGAACTGATCCAAGTTGACAAAACATATTAAAATAAACATAAGAGAGCTGACAAGGCACGTGCTTTCAGACGGAGTGGCACGTGCGTGCCTATCTTGTCTTCCATTCATTAATTGTAGATTTGGTATCGCCATACGCCATGTTTTTCTTTGCTTGAGATGAATGATTAGAGAAGAAAAGGGTATTCAAACAAATAGAAGGTAACATTGAATTACGTAACGTAATATCATAAGTCACATTGCTCATTTTTCAAATCTCCATATATGTAAAGTTTTATTGTGTCCTTTCACTAATATTTTATTATATGACAAATTTTGGTCCCTTTATTAAAGGTGACACTCATCTTTAAAAGCATAGGAAGAATTAAGATGAAGATGTTTTATTTTGGTAATAAAGTGTCAAATTTTTTTATTGATTTAAAATGTGACTTAAAAGCTTAATAAATAAATAAGTTTTCATATAATTTTTATTATTAAAATATAATTTATTAAAAAAAGCCTCATTAAAACACATAATTTCTCAATCACAATTAATACTCATCATATGCTTTTTTTAGTACAAGTATTTTTTTTTTAAAACTTAATCCTATTTAAGTTAAATAGGATTATTATAGATTATAAAATTATTTAATATAATTATATTTTCGGTAACTGAAATTCAAGATTACATATTAAAATAAAACAATCTCTTACCATTTAATCTTCGTGTTTCATTTTATATATATATATTTGAACTAAAACACTTTTGGAAACTTTTTTTTATACAATCACATGACTTTTTTATATTGAGTATTTACTTTTTTATTATTTTAAATTATAATTTTTAAATTTAAAGTTAATGAAAATTTTAAACATTCATCACTATATCAAATTAAAAATATATGTTTAATAAAAAAATTAAATTTATTATAATTAATTATAATTAAATTAAATTTTTAAATATTAAAATTTGATATGTCATATTAATAAATTAAAGATGATGTATCACAATTTAATTTTAATAATTTGTTTTTCAAAATTACCGGTTTAATTTATTTTTATTTAATATAATAAAATATTTATTACTGATAATAAAACATTCACTGTTTTAAATTTTACGAATATCCATACAATGCACACAAAAACTTTGTTATTAGTATTTATAAGAATGATACTTTCATAATGGTTATTCCTTATTTTCATATTATACAAATTAAAAGAAAGGCATCATTTTTAATCGATGATGCTTGTTAAAAAAATTGAAGATAAAGAAAGAAAACAAAACATTTGATCGACAGATGGAATAATAAATTAACCAAAGTTTTAAGGTCATGGCTCAAAATTTTTAGTTAGCTAGGGTTTCTCGTACGACTGTATGGTGGAGAGAGAGATAGTTAACCAAAGTTTTAAGGTCATGGCTCAAAATTTGCATAAATGACATTAAAAAAAAATATGCTAGTGCTTTTATTTGAGCCTTGGAATCCACTTCATCCTTTGTTCATTCCTTACATAATTAATTGTATCTGACACAATAAACAAATGAAATCAATCTGACTTGATTATAGGAACTATATATATATATGAATCTATCAGCAATTAATCATTAAGTGTCATCTTATTTTCTTTACGTGAATTAAACGCCATTAACTAATCTCCCCCAAGTGTACATAGTTGACTTCCTTGTTTTCTTATTCAACTACACAAATTTCACTGGAATGTAGAAACCACTTAAATATACTCAAGCGCACCCACTACCATTCCCAAACTCATGTTAAAGATTCCCATTTTTAACTTAAAAAAGTCTTAAAACTACTCCTTCACATCACCCAAACCCTTTGAACATGTCTCGTTCACTTTCCCATCTTATACACATAAATACATATATAACATAAATACACATACACATAATTTTCTGCCACAGCTACTTACATAGCCAAACAATTAAGGATGTCAAGGGCTTCAAACTTTCCCCAAAGGCCTTCTAACATTGTTGTACAGAGGCATCAGAGGAAGGACACAATGATGTTCCTTGATAATAGAAAGCTAAAAAGGGAGTCAGCCAATGTCCCTAATGAAGCTTACCATGTTGAATCTGCTTCAATTCCCTTTGTATGGGAATCTCAACCAGGTACACCAAAGGTTAGATTCAAAGAAAGTTCCCTCCCTCCACTCACCCCTCCACCATCTTATTACCAAAATGCTACCAAAAAGCCCAATATCAAGGCCAAGAATAAGAACTCACCAAAAGCTACCCTTTTGCAAACTATATTCCCTATGCGTACTGCTAGAAAAAGTTCTGTTCCTCCACAACCTGGATCTTCAAATTTTTTGTCCTATTCTTCTTCCTCTTCTTCTTCATCATCTTTGTCATCTTCGTCGCCACGGCCAACATCATATTCAGTGCCATCGTCTCCTATGACGCACTCAAGTAAAATTGGTGAAGAGGATGAAGATCTATATGAGGTGACTGGTTCAAGTTTGTGCTTTGGCAATGCCAGGTCACGAGGGTGTTACTCATCTATGTTCAAGAAGGTATTGCTCGGAGATTTTCTGTGATATGTCTTAGATGTAGCTTTTGTCTGTGGTGATTGTTAATAATAAGAGCTACTATAGTTGGGAACATTGTATTTGCCAAACTGATTCTTAAAGTAATGATGTGCATCATATACTTGTTTACCATATGCAAGTTAGTTGATTCCTTCTCTTCGTGTTGTGAACTTGAATGAGATGTTGTTTAGATATGTTAATTAACATCTCAATCATCTGCGAAAGTAGAAGATTTCAATACTTATTATTCATTCTAATTTGTCACTCTCATCTTTCACCTCTTTGCTATTAGAGAGTCACTCAGAGGCCTTACTAAGAGACTTACAAGTTTTTATATCTTAAAGTTAATCTAGCAGTCTCGATTTAACAATTTAATTAACTAATTATTTCTCATATGTCATAATTTGAATATAATGCAATCATTCTACTTATACAAAAAAATTGCAAAATGAAAAAGATGGACAAGATTTTTTGGGCTTTGTGTTTGTATGTTTGATAATACAATAACTTATTTAGGGGTTAATTTGTAAATTTTTTTATTAATAAGTTAATATAACTATTTAGTAAATCAAAATACTTAAAATTTTTAAAATTACTTATAAAAAAAATACTCTAAATAACATTTATTTTTATTGAAACTTAACTTCGAACGTTTTTTCATTTATGTCTTTAGCTTTTTAATAATGTGCATTCAGACAATAAACTTTTAACATTTTTTTAGTTATTTAATATATTTTATTTAATTAAATATAATTGATTTCACTTAATATCTCTAATTCAATTATTTAATTATAAATTATAAACTTTAACTATAAAATTTTAATTAATTTATCAGTTCTAAACTACAGGCTAATCTTCAATTAGTTTTAGCTAACGTCTACATCATATTTATTAGTAATTAGTTAGTTTCTAGAAGAAAATGAAACTGGTTTCTTCGTAAATGCTGTACCAATATTAAAGTATTAGACAGAAATAAGTAGCGGAAGATATGCATATATTAACAAAATAATACTATCCAATCAAAACTATTTTTGCACCGCACTAAGCCTACAATATTCAGCATTATCCATAAATAACTTCGATAAAGTAGAAATATATTATAACTATACAGTTTTATTATCAACAAAATTAATATTATATGTAGGTGTAAATGTAATTTATTTATTTATATTTTTTATACACACGTGTCTAAAAAATATAATTTTTTTAGCAAATATATGAATCATCTAGTAAAAGGTTATTTCAGTTTAATATGGTTTTTTAATTCTAAGAAATATCAAATGAAAATTAGCTATGATTTTGACTAATAAAGAATATAAAAAAATAATGTTATTGCAATAAATTGCCAATACGATCCAGTGCGTGGGTAGCACCCGTATGGTATACATCATAAGGGACATACACAAGCAGCTGTCTCTCACATTCCTTTGCGATATTATAATTAAATATAACTAATGAATGGGTCGAACCAGATTCACATTTCAGCCATTTGTCCGATTAATCCATCAAGGTTTACTACACATACATTTTGTTTATTGAAAAAATTAATAAAAAGTTTATATAACTTTTAATATAATGTTATAATTTTATTAATTCATTTAAAGTAAGGTTATTTACTTTATGAGATAACATAAACATATCTTATTTGAAAACGCAATTTATTTATTTATTCAGCAAGACTGACAAGTAATTTCTATAGGCAAAGCATTTATTTATTTATATATATGTACCTTAGCAATAATTAATTAGGTTGCACCCATCTTCCATATATGGTACCTTGACAAGGAGCCATTGGTTTTTAATAAAATGGGATTAATGGTATGAGTGAATCACGACGTGGGATCTCGTGGTCAACAAGTAACTGTGTTGAATTGGTAAAATTGTAAAGTTGGTCCCTGAAAAGTGTAATTATTTGTCCATTCCCACATATATAATATAGCCATCATTGACAAAATGCGAAGACCCAATTTTAAAAAATAAATAAATAAAAATCTCACCATAGAATTGGTGAACAACCAAAAGTTGTGAATAGAGTGGACGAGTCTGAACTAATGTGCGACATCAATTTTGCTGTTGCAAACATGCGAATTGAAGGGTTTAAATCTAAATTATGATAAGTCAAAACTACCAGAACTGGTTATTTACTGCAGGTAAGGTGTAAAGGAATATCAGATTATCATTACACTCAAATTAACCCGGCGCTTCAGTATAGAATTTGAGATAATACTAAAATAATTTCAACACAATTTTCAGAATAATTTTTAGTATTATTTTAATTTTTTTGGTGATGTTTTTGTTTTTAACATTATTAACAGATACTTTCATATCTACTATATATCAATGTTGTGTCTGAAAACAAAAAAGAAGAAGAAGAATTTATAAACTAATAATAGAGGTATTTAAAACTTCATTTTACTTTTTAAAATAATAAATTTAAAAATAAAATATTCAAAAATAGTTACAATAATGGTGATAAAAGTTATAAAAATAAGATAAAATATTATTAGAGACACATTCATTGTTATTTGTTACTTATATTAAGAGGTGATATAACTCATATTCATCTTTAGAAATGAGGGTGCATGTTTTAAAATGAAAATAAATGAATGTAATTTGAGTAAGCACGATCTTAAGAAAATTAAAAAGAATGTAATTTAATACTTTAAATTTAGTTAATAATAAAATATGTGTTTAAATAAATATGTTAAAAAGTATTTCTAACATTTCTTAGTTATTTTTATAAATATTGTAATCATGAAAAAATTACTACATGATGCATAGAATAATCTTCCTTGTTTGACAAAATCAATATAAAAACTTTCTTCTAGATTGGTTAAAGTTTTTTGTTACGTCGAGAAAAAGAACAGACAAAGGTCTAAAGAACGCCACACCAATTAACAAAGACTCTCTACAGGTGGGGGTATATGGGAAAAGATTATAATATTTGGTAGCGGCAGTCGAAATGAAAACAATTATTATAAATACAATTTTATTATATTTTTTAGAGTCTTATTAGACATTAGTTAAAGAATTGTAAATGATAATTTGTTAATGTTAGAGGGTATTAAAATACATGTGAGCGAGTGTATTTCATATTTAAATATATTTTTTCATTTTTTAAACCAGTACTCTAAAAACATAGGTTAACATTTTCTTAATTTTTAATATATTTCTAACAAACTTTTCAACATTTTTTTTCTTAGCCGGTGCCCATAATTAAAAAGCATATTATCATATTTTTCCTCAGTATTCATCACATCAACCCCTATAATATCACCCTTCTTATTTCGGAAATAATATCACCTTTCTTCTTGTAAGGTAATACAATTACAGAGGAAAAGGTTCCCCAATTATTTTAGAGTTTAATTATGAGTTTGAAAATGAATTAAATAAAGAAGCTACTTAATATTTTTGTTTGCCATGCCAATACATTCAGCAATTAATTTGAGAAAAAGAATAGATGTTCAAATTACGATGTCATGAGCTGCTACCTATTGCACGCCAACGCGTTTACTGCAAGAGAGTTTAACTTCTTACTAACATGCAACCATACGTTGTCATAATGTTTTATCAAAATATATTAATACTACACTCTTTAGTAATACTACAAATTTACCTAATAAATAAAAATATATCAGAGCGTTTTGTACTAAAAACAATCCTCTTTTTAAAATCATATATTCCGACGTGAAGAGGGCAAATAGCAACGGGTTGGGCAAGACTCAATTTATGTTGTCTTCTGGCATGTGACTGTAGGAAGAGACAGAAACCAGTATACTTGGGAGTTAGCACTTAACCACGATTTGTCTTCATTACTATATATTTAATTTGTTTGCTTTTCAAACAAAATATTTTCTTTTTGAAAAGGAAGTCTTACCCAGTCCATACGAGAAATTTTTAGGTAGTTTATGAATATGTGATTTTGATCACTCATATTTTATCAAGTGTTCAAACTGTTCACCATATATGTGTTATGTTTTGAATGGTTAGTACTGTGAATAGATTTTTCAGTACACATCCAGTAGATTGAAAAATTATCTCTAAAAAATTATAATCCCAAAGACTATATTACACTTTAATATTATATACACATGAGTTGAGCCCATGTTCCAAGGTCCATTGTTTTAAACTTGGTCACCTCAACCATGCTTTAAGCACGTTTTTCCGTGAATTACTTGCTCCCAACGACTCAAATATTTGATAGAATTAGAACTTATTAAAACAGGTTTCAGATATATTTGATACCTTCATTTTAAAGTAATGTAGGTGAAATTTTCCATTTAGGTTTATCTTGTTCAACTACTAGGTGGTATCATAAAATATAAAACTATTTACAAAATGTAAAATAATTAAACAGTGATTAATTATTACTTGTAGTTATTCAGTTAATAAATTTGTTTTGTTTATAAAAAACAATGGTTGATTAGTTAATCTAGTTAAAAACCTAATCTTGTTTTTATCGATCTAAAATGGTGTAATTATAAATTCGGTAATGATATTGATGAATTATATATAACTGACTAATTATTCAGGTCAGAACTTAATTAAGGCCATTTCTATATAAACACTTATTGATATAGAACCTGTCGTTTTTTCCATTTTAAGAAAACACCCATGCGATGGGGTAATCTGATTCAAGATTGTCGGCAGACAGCAGATTAGTGGGAAGGATGGCATGGAGTGTTTGTTGGGTAAATGGACGGTGTGGATTCAATTGAATTATTTCATTTTCAGATTAATTTTTGTTTACTAGATAGTTCCAAAACTTCGAATTCAACCTCTCTTTTACTTCATCGTTATAGAAAACGTTTTAGGGTTTCAAGGTAACTTATATGAACAATAATATTTTTATACACAAAGGGATTAAAGGCCTGATTAAAAGCTAAATAATTAACTTAGAAAAGAAAATTTCATAAACATTTTTCCTTAAATTAGGAATGAAAAAGGAATGAAGACCATCTAACAACTTGATGTCTAGATCAATAAGGTAATCTAAATTAGCTAAAAAA